GGGTTTAGGGCTTAGGGTTTTGTCAGCTAATGCAGGCGCCTAAACAATGGGAAACAGGAGGGTTGTGGGTTTTTTGGTTCCCTCTTGTAATTAAAGCATAGCATATACGTGCTGCGACAAGCTGGGTTGTGATAGTTTGGGATATTGTTCCAGCTGGGTTTTGAGGCCAATGACGCAATGTGCTTCAAGCTACAAGCGTTTTATCTCAAGCGCAAGAACTCCGACCGTATCCAATAAAACCGTCGGCCCTACCCCCAAAACTGCGTTTTCCGAGAAGGCTAAGACAGGTTTAGGCTTAAGGTCTTGAGGATCAAGGGTATTACAAGTAGTGGCAATTTGCAGTATCAACGCAGGAGGGTTAGAAAGCAAGTGATGGAGATTTGAATCATGGAGACGAGCCAGGGGTTCACCGGGGATCGGGTGCGTTTGGCTTTACACAGGTCTGTGAGGTTGACCATCTGCTGATGCCGTTTAAAGTTTTGACAGGCCCAGAAAAACATTGTTCGTGGAGCATGGGGCTGCATTGAACCTGGGGGGGTCCTTACAAGAACAGCGAGCATCCTACTTCTGGTCTTACGGGTCTCTGTACATCAGCAACCCTAATCACCCAAGCTTTCACTTCAAACTTCAACCCCCGAACCTTAAGAACAACACAAATCCATACACGTAGTCCATTATCCATCGCACGATGTCCTAAGCCCTAAGCGGTAAACCTCTAAACCCCTAATTCACCGCTCTGCTCCCTTCGCTTCTTCGCTGAGATCTGAGGATGTTTAGCGTTACTGGCGAGCCGCTTGGCCTGGGGTTTTGGATGTCGCCCCACAAGCCCAGTAGTCGAGACAGTATGTTGCTGGGTTTACCGTATGCAAGGGGTTTAAGGAACGGTCGCCACTATTCGGACGGGCAACGAAGCCTCCAGGATCCGGTCTGCTCCCATGCGCTGAGTATGTTCGGAACTAGGCCTTCCGTAAGGGTGTGCGTAAAGTTCTAGGCGGGGGAGGGGGGCGGGGGGGGGG